GGTTGTGGGCTGAGAGAGAGAGAGAGAGAGAGAGAGAGAGAGAGAGAGGAAGAGAGAGAGAGGAAGAGAGAGGAAGAAAACATTAATTGTTTGGTTGCCTCCTGTACATGCCCTGACCCCGGGGGATGGAACTTGCAACCCAAGTATGTGCCCTGACTGGCAAACCCACAGCCCTTCGGTGCTCAGGATAATGCTCTAATCAACCGAGGCACACTGTCCAGGGCACTAGCTCTACCCTTAGTCAGTCAGAGAGTCTGGTAGCAGACAGACTATCTCTTTTTTTTTAAAATATATTTTACTGATTTTTTACAGAGAGGATGGGGGAGGGATAGAGAGTTAGAAACATCGATGAGAGAGAAACATCAATCAGCTGCCTCCTGCACACTCCCAACTGGAGAAGTGTCTGCAACCAAGGTACATGCCCTTGACCGGAATCGAACCTGGGACCCTTGAGTCCACAGGCCGACGCCCTATCTACTGAGCCAAACCGGTCAGGGCCCTCCTCCACCATTTCAATGACTGAGTACAGGACTACATGTAGTTCCCAGAGGTGAATTAACAAAGACACTCCCAGAACACAATTCTTCCTAAAAACTAACAAATGAGCATTTAAAAGGTATTATTTTATACCTCTACTTTTTTTAAATATATTTTACTGATTTTTTACAGAGAGGAAGGGACAGAGATAGAGAGTCAGAAACATCGATGAGAGAGAAACATCGATCAGCCGCCTCCTGCACATCCCCCACTGGGGATGTGCCCGCAACCCAGGTACATGCCCTTGACCGGAATCGAACCTGGAACCTTTCAGTCCGCAGGCCGACGCTCTATCCACTGAGCCAAACCGGTTTCGGCTTTATACCTCTACTTTTAATATACTTTGAGCATTAGTACTTGTTTATTCTTGAATATAAAGCAATATATTTTTTTTAATTTTAAAATGAAAAAATTGCCAAAACCGGTTTGGCTCAGTGGATAGAGTGTCAGCCTGCGGACTGAGGGGTCCTAGGTTCGATTCCGGTCAAGGGCATGTATCTGGGTTGCGGGCACATCCCCAGTGGGAGATGTGCAGGAGGCGGCTGATCGATGTTTCTCTCCCATCGATGTTTCTAACTCTCTATCTCTCTCCCTTCCTCTCTGTAAAAAATCAATAAAATATATTTTAAAAAAATGAAAAAATTTTTAATTGAATTTATTTGGGTGACATTGGTTAATAAAATTATATAGGTTTCATGTATATAGTTCTATAATACATTTCTCTGTGTATTGTATTGTGTGTTCACCACCCCAATCTATAGCAATATTAACTAAAAGGTACACATGTATTAATTGCTAGACAATCTGACCTTATGTAAAGACTCATGGACACAGAACCTTTCTGTACTTCCTTCCTTCACCACTTCCCCATCACCCGGTGAACAGTCAGCATAATCTCCAACACATCAAGTTTAACAGTACAACCATACCTATGAATTAACAGGAAAAACAACACAGGGGATTATTTTAACTCTACTTTTAATATGTTGTGTACTTCTTATTTAAAATATATATTTTATTTATTTTTTACAGAGAAGAAGGGAGAGGGACAGAGAGTTAGAAACATTGATGAGAGAGAAACATCAATCAGCTGCCTCCTGCACACCTCCTAATGGGGATGTGCCCGCAATGAAGGTACATGCCCTTGACAGGAATCAAACCCAGGACCCTTCAGTCTGCAGGGTGACGCTCTATCCACATAGCCAAACTGGTTAGGGCTGTTGTGTACTTTTTAAAAACTATATTTGGTCTCCAGAGGTGCTGTATTTTTTAATATGTTTTTATTGATTTCAGAGTGGAAAGGAGAGGGAGAGATAGAAACATCAGTGATGAGAGAGAATCATTGATCAGCTGCCTCCTGTATGCCCCTTACTGGGGATTGAGTCTGCAACCCGGGCATGTGCCCTTGATTGGAATCGAACCCAGGACCCTTCAGTCTGCAGGCTGATGCTCTATCCACTGAGCCAAACCAGTTAGGGCTACACTGTCTGCTTTTACAATCCCTCTGTTACTGCTCAAGTTTAGTCAATACTTTTGGTTCCAAATAATAGGAATACAGTTTAAACTATCCTGAACAGTAGAAGGAGATTTTTGGTGCTATAGAAAGGATGCTGAAATTACACATAGAATTGAAGGAAGTCTGCAGGAACCAGGGGATTATAGAACAGGGATATCACTCCATTGGAACCTACTTTCATCTCTGCTTGGCTTTATTCATTATATTTTGCCATCAGACCTTTGCCAAAAGATCAGTGATGGCTGTCTGTAACCTAACCTCATATCCTTCTGATACCATGACCCCAAGAGGCAAGACCATTTCTCTTTCTGCTCTAAATTGGGAGATTTATTTGAATCAATCATTATTCCCAAAGAAAGGAGGGTACTATGATTTGTCTGGTTTGGAGCTCATGCCAACCCCAATGGCCAGGAGAGGATAAAAACATACCAAAGAAGATGCAGGGGAGAGCTTGTCTTGAGACCAAATCATTAATCATCACTGTCCTCTCCAAAGCTTTATTGCCCCGGCCCTCTAATGATTTTTCACTGCAGTTTAGCTGCTTACTGCTCTCAGAACAGCAATGGCACTAAGTTTTGAAATTTATGAAAAAGCATAAAGTAGTGTAAAATTTCAGAGTAATGTTATTGTGAATGAGCTGTTTGGCTGAAGATAGACTACAAAGCTAAAATAATGATTCATTTAATGAAATTTACTTAGTGCTTATTATGGACAACACATTGTACAGTTTTAATATATTAAACCAAGTCTGAATACTAGTATCTAGGCACTGAAATCATGCCATATTTCATCAGAGAGCTAATTAATTTTACTCTTATTTTAAAACTAGAGACCCAGTCCACGGATTCATGCACTGGTGGGGTCCCTTGGCCTGCCTTCGTCTTCTCGCAATCCGGGACCCCTTGGGGGATGTCGGAGAGCTGGTTTCAGCCCAATTCCCATAGACCAGGCCAAGGGACCCGACCAGTGCACTATTGGGGCTGGGGAGGGACTATGGGATGGCTCCAGGGTATGTCCAGTCCGTCTTGCCTAGTCCCTCAGCAGCAAGCTAACCTATCATTTGGAGCATCTCCCCCCTGGTGGTCATAGCGACTGGTCGAATGGTCAAACGAATGGTTGGACACTTAGCATAAAAAAAATTAGGTTATAGTTATTGACCTAGAATTTGAATGGCATGACTTTTTTAACAGTAGTTTTTCTGATATTTGATATTTGCAAAGGGAATATTTTTATACTTCTGAAGAGTTTATTATCATTACTGTCACTTGATGACCCTTTTGTGAAACTTATTCATTGATTATGAATCATTCAAATTATGATCTGTAGTTAAGAAGCTACTGTTTTCTAGTTATCTACCAAATTCAAAATTATTACTTTTTCTGTCGTTATAGTCTGTTGCATCTGCAGACATGGATTTCAACCAGCTGGAAGCATTCTTGACTGCTCAAACCAAAAAGCAAGGAGGGATCACATCTGATCAAGCTGCTGTCATTTCTAAATTCTGGAAGAGTCATAAGACAAAGATCCGAGAGAGCCTGATGAACCAGAGACGCTGGGACAGTGGGCTTCGGGGCCTAA